CGAAGCAGAGGTCGAGCGGGGCGGGCAGGCGTGAAGTGGAGTGGAGTGAATCAGGGAGAGGCGGAGAGAGAGAACGACGTGGTTGTCCCAGAGAAGCGGAAGGGAGAGGCTGAGGGAGAGAGAAGGGAGACGCAGCGCTCTTGTTGAGATAATTTCCCTGCCTCCAGAGTGCGAGGGGTGTATCTACGAAAACGCAGATGTTCAGGAAATGGGGACGATAAGGTGAGGCCTCTAGTGGCCCACTTGCTTACTTCACGAACGAAAGGGGGATCATGAGAGGATCGTTGCCAACGCTAGGACTGATATTAGGTTTCATGTAATCGTTCCACCATATGACTATAACAGCAAAGACAGTAAAGGTAAAGTGCTACTTTAAACGTGCGATACAAGCCGTTTTACGATGAGGAATAAATAACGAATCATTACATTCCTATCCGAGAAGTCCTACATTTACTGACTGTGTAAATCATTAATATTCACGTACTTCGTTATATCAATTTACTTTAATTACTTATTTAATCTTAGTACGTAGTTATCTTAATTTATTCTCCAATGTTTTCAAGGAAATTAACGTATTTTCTGAATCCACTCACGCCAACAGTGCAAAAAGTGTATTCATTACTAGTATGCGTAAAGTATCATATCTAAAGTCCTTAATGATAACTTCCTCCCAGAATACATTTCAAAAACTACTAACACAAATTTGAACACAGCGAAATTCTGAAATGATCATTCTCACGTTCCTTGTGAAACTGAATACGGCGAGGTTTGCCAACTTCACACATTCTTCCCGCAATTTCTGCGATACATTTTCGAAATATTAGAGGGCGACAATTAAAATCCCCAGGGCCGTAGGCCGCTGCAATTGCGGGCGAGAAATCTCGCGAAGTTCGTAGCCCACGCCATCGGTCTACATTAATGGAGAAAAGATCTAAGTGTCACGCTGCCCGTCGGCTGCTGTCGGTCGCCCCTTTGCGCCCTCGCAGACGCCACAGGAAGGGGAGCGGCTGCCTATTTCCGGTCCCTGCTCCGCGCCCGACGCCGCCGCCTTTCAAGGAGCAACTTGGGAGCTTCTCCGCGATCGAAGACAGCGCTCCAAAGAAACTCCGAGTCTGGCAAGTTGGGGCGCCCGAAGTTGTCATCGAGCAACTTCTGAGGCATTGTTAGTTCCGAATCAACATGGAACCGTGTTCCTAAGTACGCAAGATCAATACATACGGCGATGTACTACGTTATAATTGTTCTTAGAATCCAACATTCCCTTAAAAAGATAATGAAACTGAAGTTTGTCCATTTATCTCGGTATGTACTACTCTAATTGATCTCCGTTCTCTTGTAAAAAAGAGCACACGGAAAACTAAAACGATAATACCTCTCCTGCCATATGTTTTAAATGGAATCTTCTGGCTCCGTACGCTCTCGAGCATTTCTTGACCCGGCAAAAACCACGTTTAACGATAGCACGCGCTATTTCCCTTGCAGCGGCATAAAATCAAAAACCCCGCACTCTGCTCCGTAATCCCGTTGGAGTTAGCGAAGCCGCAAAAAAATCGCCGGGCGGGTTCCTCTTCTCCACTCGGCGAGGCGCAACGAATCGAGAGAATTCACTTCCACACTACGCTGAGCAGCGCACACCGACCGAATGGGCCTCGAGCGGAGAGGCGCACGGGAAATTCTGGAAAGGCGGGCGGAGGGCGCATCCTCCGTCATTACCGCAGCATCCGCCGTCACTGGCGACAATCGAAGGCAGGGCTTCAACGGCTTCGCCTAAGCGGAAAAGCCAGCTGGCCAAAGCTGGAGCCTGGTGTTGGTCAAATTTTGGGAATCTTGTAATACCCGCTACACGACAAAAGAAGTATCCTGCGTGGATACTACAGAACTTCAGTTACCGATGCTTCTACTTGATACTGGTAATACTTTTATAATGTCAAAAAATTGCGAATTATTAACGACAACAATAGTATTTACTTACCAAAAAAGTGTGCAACTTATCAAACTATAAACACCTTCTAGTAAGTTTTATCATTTTATGGTAGATAATATCATTTATCGAGTTATTCGGATTCCGATACTACAACTTTGGCAAAGATAACACGATTTAAAACCCGTTCAGTAAATATAAAAAAGATACTAATAAGCATGGCAAACTTATCTTCTCCGAAAATGAGACAAAAAAGGAAGAAAAAAAGCAATAACAGGCTAATCGGACATTTTAACAACTCGATTTATTAACCTTCAAAAACTGAGCTGAGTACGTGAACTAATTTTAAAAATAGCAAAAACCTGTATCCCAAAAACTCGCCTAATACACCTATTCTAAAAGCTCGCCGGATTCTAATGAACTTACACATCACAGCCCGCCCCCGAACAAAACGCACCGATTCTGTCGGGTTCCTTTGTAGCGTGGCGACCACCACCGCCGGGTCCCACTACCACCACGTTGGCGCCAAGCGAGAGGGGTCGCCCTCCGGAGAAGTCAGACAGACGCCGCCGCCGCGGCGGTGGGGCCAGCTGACGCAGCGGTGTGGCAACGCCGCGCGAATTATCTCATCAATGGAGGCAGCAGTGAAGGCTGCCTCTGGCGGGCTCCCGTCTACCCAGCCTCACAGGCTGGCGGTGCGGTTGGACGCGGTGGCGGCGGGGGCGGCGGCGGCGACAAGTGGACTGAGGGACCGCCGCCGCGTCTAGCGATGCAGCCGCCAGCCGTGAATACAAACAGCACCCACAATACGAATTATGTTCGTCAAAGATAACAAGTGCTTCGGAATCATTTGTAATTTCCAAAGGTCGGTGATGCTTAAGAGGATTATTTCAGGAATGAATATCAATTTAGTTAGTAACAAAACTTAATGTCAACATTACTTTAATTTTTGATATTCCTGACAACACGAACTTTCCAGAATCACCAACACAGATATCAACAACAACAAAAAAGGTGCACGACGCGTCGATAAAACAAAGAGATAAAACTGCGTGGATAGAATTAATAATAAGTGAAATTAGTATCGGAATGACTTTACTCCGTAACTTCAGCCGAAACAGGGCTGAGCGTGCGACCGTTCAAAACACAAAACACTTTGACAATGCATTAACTAAATACATTATTGTATTTATATGTAAAAAAAGTCAATATTAGATGATGTTCATCGAAAAAATTCAATATTCGTTCAAGCTCACACAAGCTTGCTCAGAGAAAATAGGCCAAATCCTCTCCTCTATAAACATCGACTATACTTCAATTTATTTCGAACTGCCTCTGGTAGATTATCAACTGTCACGGCGTCATCCAATCTGGAGCTTAGACGTCACTAGTGACATCACTATGGCAACGTTGAAGCACCCGATTGAATGAACCCGTCAACAGCTGATTTACTTCAAGTGCAGCACTAAATAAATCGACGTACAAGGACCGCACGCGGCCGCTCTGCCGCGACTGTGGCTGGGCGCGGCTTCAGCACCACTTTCCGCCGACGCAGCGCTGGGCCGTCGCTCGGATTGTTCTCCAAGGGTGGAAAGTGCTGGGCGAAGACACTCCTCTAAAGCGCGTCACCCCGCTTGCGGCGCGGCGCGGCGCGGCGCGGGGCGACACTTTCCCCATTATGCGCGCAATTAAAAAGAGAGCGCCACTCGAAACGAAAGACGGACGCGCGTAGTGGCCGGGCTGGTGTTAGCATTCCGCGCTGCGACCGATGCATTTTTCATCGACCTACCTGCGCACCGCGCGTCCTGTGACAGAGATTAATGCGCTGGGCTGCCCGTCAGAGAAAAAGGGCCAACCAGAAGGAACCAACGCAATACAATGAGCATAACCAAAAAAAGAAAGATAATAAACGAAAAAAATATATAAAGCATTGATGAAAGGGCCGAATTTGAAACTTAGTATGAGCAAACGAAATGAGATTCTGAAGATTGGTTGTGACTATGGAAATTTGGCGTTCGCATTTGTAATTCGGCACGTTCCAGTAATCATTGTCGAAATGCAGCCAGCAGTGAAACAGCGAATGTTCTTAAACTTGTAGGTATATGTACGACAGAGAAAACATGATACAGTTCAAGTTCAATCCGACAATCGTCATAAAAGGACACACCAAAAGCAATCAATGTACTAATGGGTTTCGCGTCAAGAACTAAATAAATAAAACCCATTTGTTCAAGGGACGGAATTTGAATCTAGAGTTAGCAGGCACTTTTTATTTTTGTACTTGTA